TAGTCACAACAATTAATTGTATATGAAAACCCAAAGAGTATCAAACAATATAAGTATCTATGATGTTGCTTGTAAAACATAATAGCAAGCCAATTGATATTATGTTTTATAAAAATGTCCTACCAAAAGAATTTCTCTATGTCTGGATGACCTATGTAAACCCCAAACCAAAAATAAAAAAATAACTTGTTGCAAAGTGGAGAGTGTAACCGATTACTTGAACTTCAATTCACCATTTTTGAATGGAAAGAAATCTATTTTTGATCTAGGATAAAATCATTCCTACCATAGTTTAAGATTATGTTTTTACAAATAACAAACTTAAGATATTACATAAATCAGGTTATAATTAACAGAGTTGAGCCTCAATGATGTTAAGATTAAAGAGCGCGAGGCGTCGATGGGTTATGAGTGCACATCTATCTACATAGCTGATCATGGTGTAACCCTGATTGCATCTTTTCTTAGAATTCATCATTTTTGAATGGAAAGAAATCTATTTTTGATCTAGGATAAAATCATTCCTACCATAGTTTAAGATTATGTTTTTACAAATAACAAACTTAAGATATTACATAAATCAGGTTATAATTAACAGAGTTGAGCCTCAATGATGTTAAGATTAAAGAGCGCGAGGCGTCGATGGGTTATGAGTGCACATCTATCTACATAGCTGATCATGGTGTAACCCTGATTGCATCTTTTCTTAGGGAAGGAAAGCATCTAGAGAACGATTTTCAGTGTGATTTCCTTATTGGCACAGATGGTGCAGAAAGTAATGTGTGAAACTATGTTAATTGGATTCATGGTTTGATGTTTCTATTAATCAAATAATGGACTAGAGCATTGCGTTTATCAAACTTGTTATCATGAATAAACATCTACATCGACCACATTGAAAATGTTGTCCGGTAAAAATGCACATATATAACATTTACAAATAGAGACCATAAACAAAATAAATGCTGCAAAATGCACTCTCTCAACACCACAAGAAATCAATCTTGGCCTGATTATTGGTAGTGGCGGCTCGATCTCTTTCCCTTCTCATTTAGCATAAGGCATATCCCGCAAATCAAATGGAAATAAAAAATTGTTAAAATATAAATGGATGCTTAAATTCCACTGTTGCAGTTCTCATCAATGAATATATGTATTCTGTATTCAGGATGCTCATAACCTTTCCTGGATGTAAGCTTCTGTAATCAATGGAATCGTACCTTGATCAATTCTTCCCACTTAGAAAATGGAGCACAGGTATCCCTTGTTTGTAATATAATCACACATTTCATCTCAGTGTTAGTCCTTTGGAAGTGTAAAAGATATTCATGCGAAGTGAAACTATAGAAAATTTATATGCGAATTCCTGAAACTTGTCAAATTGCCAGTTTAAATACAGCACTGGGTCACCAAAAAAACTCACACAGAAAAAATGAAGTGAGTTAGACAAAAAGAAAAGCAACTTGGACAAAAGCAGCAATGGTAGTTCCTCATGTCCTTGGTCTTGATCTAGCCATTGCAAATGCAGGCACATTAACAAGCTTTTGAATCATTTTATTGTATTTGGATTCGTTGGTATACCTAAATCATAACATGTAAATTGTTAGTCCATCAAACTATAAACAATACCGTTGGTTCAATTTTATCGCCTAAATTCATGAGAAGTGTTGTTCAAAATCAATAAGTGAGGAGTGTGGAATAAAATAGAAACAAGAGGGCTGCAGGTAGATGGGATTAGGGCCAATCAACAGTGCACTTGTACAAGATTTCTCCAAACAGTGAACACACAACACTAAATATAAGAGGCAGAAACACAAGAACAGAGATAGCAAATCCTATGCCTCAACTGACTTTTCCAGCAAGACCTTCCAATTGCACTCCTACTTGTGTTGTTATCTCAGATTTCCAAGACTTCTAAGAGTCTTTGGACAAAGACCAATCACGGTAGGGTTTTAAAGTGCAAGGTAAATCAAGGAAAAAATTACAGGAGACTCTATAATATTGATTATTAATAACATAATGCAAGAAAGATCTCACCAATGAGTTTGAAAGAACTCAGGTTCTACCAGGCAATGTTTACACTATTGAAGACAGGTTCAGAATCCGATTCAATTAAGAAGTTAGAAACGCTCCAGTAGTCTAGGTTGCTCTGATACCATTGAAAGGTCGAGAAATACCCAAATATTAACCAAGATTCAAAAACCAATTAACAAAGCAGGAAATAAAGTGCAAAAATAAGAAAATCAACACGAGGATTTTTCGGCCGAAGCCCCGAAGGTTCGGCGACCACATCTAACGCCTAATTCCCTGTTGAGCATCCATTCTAAATGGATTTAGCTCGGTTGCACTATAAAGTCAAAAATCAGGAACAAGAATATACAATATGTTCCAAAATTACAAAGATTAAGCCACTAAGACTTATCTTTAAGAGGAATGAAGAATCGAATCACACTTCTTCGGAAACCTAAAGAAGATCACTCAAATCTTCTCAGAAACCCTACTGCTTGCACGAATCACTTAGATTTTGGTACATAAAACTCACAACACAGTACAGTAGTAGGTAGGTCTAGAGTATTACAGATGTTTCACTAAGATTTAATCACTGAAACACTCAAGAGCTCAAAACCCTAATCACAAAGAATGAGGGATTCTCACAAAGAGGAAAGGAGATGAGTAGACGAAAGTAATCCCCAAAATTCTCTCTAGTGTTCGAGTTAAAGAGTCATCGTCAGAATATAAAGCAAGAAGCATCTAGAAATTAATCAAATGGTCATTACAGTACCACATATCGCAATCTGGTTAAAGACCTCCACTAACAAAGGTGTAAAATCAGAAGCACGCTTTCTTCACATTTTGGAAGAACACTTTTATAAGAAATGAGGTCAATGGTTCGAAACTCAACACCTATAAATTCAGCACATGAAGAGGATGAAAAAAGAAGTTGAAAGTTGTTGCAAAACAGAATTTCCCCACCTTTCTCTTATCGTCTTCTCTGCTCTTCACTTCTCTAAATCTATTTCTCTTTCTCTTTCTATTCTTCTAAATCGAAATCTCTTCTTTCTTCTCTAATTTCCCCCCTTTTTCTCTATTTTTTGTTTATATTTGTTACGTCTCCGTAACCTTCAATCCAATCAATAGAATTACAACTTGAATTATTGATTTGTAGCTAATTATATCCAATTGTATCGTGATTTTGATTGCAATTTAACTGTTGTTGGTTAAATTCTATAGAAATTGAGCTTCAAGCATTACATACTACAATGAGAACAAATATTTGATAAATGAAATTCTTTAATTTCCCTCATTTCTAAGAGCAAAATATAGATAAAGCAAAAAGATCAAAAGAAATATCAGAAATTCTTTGTTTTTACACCTCTAACTTTGATTGTAGATCGCTTAGACTTGAATGGCCTCATTTGTTTTGACACCTCTAACTTAGGGACCTTGCGACAACAAATAGCAATAATCTTAAAGCTATCCATATAAACTTACCAGACAACAGCTGGCATGACTCTCTCTTGTTAAATTGACAAAAAGAAATTGGACAAATCTATAATACATTAAAGTATCACATTAATAGAAAATCATTTTTTGGACGATTTTAACTCTTTTACAATTCAATTATTTCAATAATAACTTACTTTTCATTTTTCGATATGTAATAAATACTATATAATTATTATCGATTATGAAATTTGTGTTGTTAATTCTCAATTAATTAACATTCACATTAACCTAGATTCTAAGAATTTTCACTTGACGAACCTTGAATTATATGAATCTAGAGTTTCATAGATGAATTTATTCATATTCATATATCTAGAAATTTTGACGGGTGTTTAAATTTATGTATTAACAAATAATTTTTATGTATCAAATGTAATATAAAAAGATTGTTTATTTATAGTATTTCATCATTACAAAAAATTTGAATCATAGAAATTGAGTTTTGAGAGTACAATATTATCACATTAAGCGAGAATCATTTTTTGGACGATTTTATCCCCATACAATTCAATTATTTCAATAATACCTTACTTTTCGTTTTTCAATATGAAATAAATATTACATAATTATTGTCGTTTATGAAATTTGTGTTATTAATTCTCAATTAATTAACATTTACATTAATTTAGATTCAATAAATTTTTAACTTGATGAATTTTTATTATATGAATCTAGAGTTTTTATAGATGAAATTATTCATATTCATGTATTTAGAAATTTTAATGAGTGTTTAAATTTATGTATTAACAAATAATTTTTATGTATCAAATGTAATATAAAAGATTGTTCATTTATAATATTTCATCATTACAAAAATTTGAATCATAAAAATTGAGTTCTGAGAGTACAATTTGAGTATAATTTTCTTCTCTTAAATTTCTATACTAATTTTTTTTTTTAATTCGTCCGAAACTCATCAAATCCGCAAACAAATTGGTGTCAATATACTTTTGCATAACTTATAAAGTATTTTAGAATAACATGTAATACACGTCCAATTTTGACTAGTATATTAAATTATCACTTCAAGGGAGAATCATTTTTTGGACAATTTCAACCTCCTTGCAATTCAATTATTTCGATAATATCTTATTTTTCGTTTTTCAATATGTAATAAATACTACATAATTATTGTTATTTATGGAATTTATGTTATTAATTCTCAATTAATTAACATTCAAATTAACCTAGATTCAATGAATTTCACTTGATGAATCTTGAATTACTTAAATCTAGAATTATTATAGATGAATTTATTCATATTTATATTTTAATAGGTGTTTAAATTTATGTATTAACAATTAATTTTTATGTATTAAATGTCATAAAAAAAATTGCTCATTTATAGTAGTTCATCATTAAAAAAAAATTCAATTATAGAAATTGAGTTATGTAAGTAGAATAATTTTCTTATTTTAAATATCTATGCTAAATTTTATTTTTTTTAATTTATCCGAGACTTATCGCATTCTCCAATAAATTGGCACCAAATATTATTTTTACTTTACTTATAAAGCATTTTAGAATAATGTACAATACACGTTCAACTTTGACTAGTAAACATAAACAGTGGGAAATTTTTTTACAGATCGTGGGATATGTCCGAAATTTATAGAAAATTTATGAAACATACAGAGATAATTCATTGCACCGCTAGCTTTTTATGATTCAGATTATCCACATCAAGGCCATGAGCACCAAAACATAAGTAGTGATTCATCAACCTCGTGTTGAAGGAGGGTCTGTGCTTCATTTTCGTCTTCTGAATTTTTGGGGATTGATTCACACTGGAGAGTCCCACACCAGCAGCGTCGAGATCCATGTCCTTCTCTTTATTGGCAGATACAGCAGACGACCAAGATGATTCGGAAAAAGGAGTGGAAGGTGATCCAAAGTATGACTGTGGCATCATTTGCATAACACCATGTGATAACTCTGCAGCAAATTTATCTTTTGTGGATGGACTCGGAAGGTTACCCCTTTGGTCAAGTACTCTTTTGTTGTTCGGCAGGGATGATATTCTTGAAAACTTTTGCCTAAGTGGAACTGGGCTGTTTTGAAACTTGAAGAGATTCTGTATGATTCTACAGAATTATCATCGTCCAACTCCGTGATACCTGTTTTCCTTTCTTTCTTCCCCGGCCAACGAAGAAGAATCTTCAGACGCCTAGCAACATTATTAACTGAATCTGACTTCTTCTTACTAGTTGAGCTCGACCCAGCAGGCGAATCAAAGCGATTTAGATCACCCGAGCACGAAGCATACCCGCTTGTTAAATCACCACTAACATCAGATGCATTCCCCATTCCAGAATACAAAAATATCTCTGTATCCGGGATTCTGAAAGAAGTTCCCGGACTGCCTCCAATCCCCTGCATCCTCAGATGGGAAGCAAGAACACTTCTGGTAATTTGATCTTGACAACTAGAGATTCCTCCAGCTGAAATCAGCCGCCTCATTAAAATCTCAGAAGAAGCCGATTTTGGTCTTTGCTTGAGGAGATCCAGTGGAGTATTTCCATCTGCATCACGGGTATTTAAATTTATATAACGCACTGACATAAGAAGTTCCACAACGTCAGATTGAATGTTTGCAATCACGGCCATGTGAAGGGCAGTTCGACCGTCACTGTTTGTAACATTGATAATATCTTCGATATTTACAATTTTTCCACTAACCAATTGCTTCATGAGCTCTATCTGTCGGTCCAATCTTCGGAATCCAGGGGTTCGGAAGCCAGCCACTGCCATGTGCAGAAAAGTATCTCCAAAATTGTTAGTTAGGGAAGCGCATGAAGGAGACGCTGATACAAGGACCTTAACTACTTCTAGGTGACCACGGTAAGCTGCCACATTTAATGCTGTGTTACCTTGATTGTCTGTGGTGTTGATGATGTCAAAGGACGATAATAAATGTTTAACTACCTATATGGTCCAAAAAGAATTAAATGCAATGTTAGAAGCTGAATTTAATGTGGATTAGAAAAATATTGAAATAAAACTAATCATTCTAATGATGTAATTAGACAATAGCATGTTGATGTCCACTGATATAGCATCCTCCCATTAATGAGGTAAAAACTGAAAAATCAACAAGATGGTGGAGCATGTCTAGCTAAGCTAAAAAATCACCTAAAACTAAACTTTTTTTTGCCAAATGTGTTTTGAGCTTTTTCAGAAGTTACTTTTCTTCAAGGGGAGTGGGTAGACGTGGGTTTAGTTCACTTACTTTCCAATTTCATCTTTTCTTAAGCTTAGCCAATGCTCCATATACACAACATGCCAATGCTACTAGATTCAAAACCTTAATAATGAATCATGATATTAAATCTTAGGTTACTTGGTATTTGGTAACAAACAGCTGCTAAACAACAGTAAATGAACCTCAAAGCTCCTTACCATAATTAAACACTGAGCAGAACTCAGTCATACAGCCAATCATGAGAAAAACAAAAAATAACAAAGGACTTTAACCATTTTATCGTCATTCCTTTCCTTCTCTCTCAAGTACTCTATTTTTATCCTCAGAGGTTAATCAACTCACTCGAGCATGTAATCAAATTCTGTTAAGTTACAGACAGTCAAAAGAGGGAGTGAAAAATGAACAACATTAAACACAACCTTAAGCTTTAACTTCCACAAAGATGGAGACAGTGACCAATAACCAGATATATACAGTTCTCAAATGGCCAGCCACATGAAGCGAATGATAGTGCAAGAGGAAAGGCAAAGCTAATATTATCGTAGTTGAGTCCTTTACGTCCATTGAGTAGAATTTATGCACTTTCCTCTGAAAATCCAGGTTCATCATAATTTTTCCCGCGTACTCAAATCAATTTTCAAGTACCATCACAAAGGTTTGGTATTAAGGAGCAACAATATCGAACACTTCATTTTGTAAGTTATGTTTGGTAGGCGATACTAGCTCATGCCTTGGTGGAGCTTGGGATGCCGTAGCTGGGAGGTGGATGGTATGAGCAAAGCATAAATGCGTAGCAAAAACATTGAAGACAAATAGCACATGTTTGGTATATACGATAAAAGACAATAAGCAAGATTTCAGATTCTTTTTTATATTTTATACTCTCCCATATCCATCTTAAAAACCTGCTAAAAATGATTACATACAAGTATTAATCAAGCAATTTAAGTAGCAAAGGAAACTAATATTTACCTGAACCTGTCCTCTGCCAGACGCTGTATGTAATACTATGGATCCCAGGCCATCTCTATAACTCAAGACATCAGATTCTTCCTTGAGAAGTTCTCTCAAAATCTCCAAGTTCCCTCCTCTAGCTGCAGCATGGACAGCTCTATTAACCATTTCCCTCTTGAAAGCCGAAGAAACCTCCTCATTTTCCGCTTTAGAGCTACCGTTATGAGTTCTCAAGATCGCATAATCCAACATCAGCCTAAAAACCTCGGAATTCTTGCTTCTAGCAGCTGCGTAAAATATGTCAGTAACACCATATTCCCCCTCTCCAAATACTAAAAGGGGGTCTTTATCCAACAATTCTTTAACAAAAATCACATCCCCAGCTGATGCAGCAGTGTACAAAAGCCAACCACCATAGCCAGCCCTGATCAGGGAATTGTGTCCTTTCTTGGTCTGGCATTCTTGGAGGAGCTTTTGCGCAACTTGGGACCGGCATTTGGATATATCGTCAAACTGTTCTTCATCGTCCCACACGGATTCAAGGCGACGAATTCTGCGTAAAGAGCTCAGTTTAATGAGCAGATTTGTGTCAAGGTGAAGAAGCTCCCTGACTAAATCATAATGCCCATTAGCAGCAGCCCAATCAATAGGAGATGCAAACCACCATTGATCTCCAGTACTCTCCCATCTCAAAGGGAAATGTGTGGGAGGCATTGAAACAAGAAATTCACAAATTTACTCTTACTGTTCGACGCAATTCCTAGCAGAATTTCAGAATTTCGAACAATAATTTATGGTCATACCCAATATATGAGGTTTCGATGAGAAAAATAAGAAATTTTGACTCCAAGAACCATTCAAGGGGATCAAAGCAAAGCCAGTGCCCATATAAAGAACAAATTCTTTTGGCCAGGATAAGCCAATAACTCAAAAGTGATGTGATAATGAGTAATAAAATGCACAAAAAGTTACGAAATTTGGATTCAGAAGAAGGGTCTTAAGAATTTGAACCAAACAAGACTAGAAAAACACTAATGGACACAGCCCTCAACACTCATCAAAACAAGCACATAAAGAAAATTTCAAATGGGAAATTTGGAGGAAAAAAATACAGATCCACCAAATAATCGTGGCAGAGCAGCTGAGAAGATTAACTATGATTAAAAGAAGATAATTTTTTGCAGATGACAACAAAAGAAAAAAGACCACATGTTTGCAGATTTTATTATTATTATTATTTTTTTATGGCCACCCAAAATATAATTCCAGAAGATGTCGAAATTCCCTCGAAATTTGAAGATTCCCTCGCCCAGCTAAAGGCTAAAGACGAGAGGACAAGAAATAAAGAGAGAATTGACAGTACGGGTCGTGGGGTTCTGTACTGCAAAAGCCTTTTTGCTATGTACCACGTAAATACTCCATTTAAAAATCACATTTCAAAATTAACAAATTTTTAAAAATCTTTCAAAAATCAGTTGATAATTAAATTTATTAAATATTAATTATAATATGGTACAATTAATTTACTTATCCACCTCACCTCACCTCCAACCCCATCCTCCCATCACATCAAACCCTTTTACTCTTTCTCCACCCCACCCCACCCCCCCCCACCCCAACATTAACAAATTTCTGAAAATCTTTAAAAAATCAGTTGATAATTAAATTTATTAAATATTAATTATAATATAGTACAATTAATTTACTTCTCCACCCCACCTCACCTCCAACCCACGCACCCATCACATCAAACCCTTTTACTCTTTCTCCACCCCACCCCACCCCACCTCCGGCGACGGCTCCGACAACAATTCCGGCAACTATTCCAATGACATTCCGACGACCTCCCGACGATGCTCCGACAACCATTCGACAAATATTCCGATCATCCATCACTTTTCCAACAACAACATTTTTTCTTCTTTTTTAGCAATGACCTGTTATCAATTCCTTTAGATCTGTGACTAGTTTTATTGAATCTGTGACCTAATTAAGTGGAATGAATATGCATATAATTAATTTCAATATTAAGAAATAAAGTTTGAAATTTCACATGTTATCTGTGACCATACCTGTGTTATATGTGACCAATTCACTGACTTTTGTTATCGGAGAATCACCATGACCAACTTTGCCTTCGATGTGACTAATTGTGGCCAAATTTGTATTCATTGTGACTTTATGTGACCAAATCAATCTCAAGTCACACCCGGTCACAATCAATACAAAATTGGTCACAAATAGTCACAACTAGATTTCGAACAGAAAAAGCCAGCTCTCCAACCACAAAATTTTGGTTTAATTGATAGAAACCCATGGCTGCAATAGTCGCAGAATGGGGGTGGTGAAGTTATAGGTGCAGATTTGTTGTGATGAGTCCCATCAATGGCGCCTGATTTTGAAATTTCTGAGATTTGTAATTTAGAAATCTTCCATTTTTATCAATTTTGGAAGATGCTGGAGAGGAAGAAGAGAGAGAAAAAGTTTAATTTGAGTGGTAGGTGGTTTTGGTTGGGGGAAGATATAAAACATTTTCTATTATTAACTATGTATTAATTAATTTAATAATTTCTAATTACCACCTGATTTATGAAATGAAAATTAATTCCCTTTATTTCTGAAAACTATTGTTTAAAAGTAGGTTTCTACGTAATTTTCTCATGCAATTTTACTGTTTTTGGACCCGATTTTAGTGGATTGTGGACCCGATTTTACTGTTTTGGTATGGAAATGATATGTAACGCAAATAACAGAAAATCTTTGACATTGATAATGTTTTGGTGATTTTTCATATAAAATTCTAATCTTCCGAAATTTTGAGATTATTATTATTTTTTTTTTTTGTGACAACGAGATTTTCTGAGGTTTAATACTCGATCGGCATCTAATTTTTATAATTCGAAAGGAATTGATATGACTTTCATTGCTTTGAAAGTTTTGTCATCGTTTTGGATAGAAATCGAGATTTTGTTATTGGAGAGCTTCCCTTACCCTCAAAAGAAACTTATCTACAATGGAGAAAAAGGTCTCTTAGTCTGAGCTTAATAATTTTTAATTCTAAAGTTTTCTTGTCCGGATATCTAGCACAAGTTGTATTACTTGATCCAAACATTAAACTTTTTCTTTTTACTTTTCTATTCATTTCTTATTTCTTTTTGTTTCTCGTTCATATTTGTGAAAACAAAAAATTGTACACTCGATCACTGTTTAAATGATATATAGGGTGCATTTGTTTCTCATTTTTGTAAAAATGAGAATGAAAAATATAGTCGTTATGGACCCCACACAAGAGATAAAAATTTTAATTTGATGGCTTAATGTGATGGATAACAATTATATTTTTCATTTTAAATGGGGAAAAGAATAAAAAACAAACGGACATATTATTCATGGTCCCAATAAAAAGTAGCTCCCGACTATTTGATATATATATCATTTAAATAGTGGCAAAATACTCCATACTCAGGAAGTGGTATAATTTTTTTTCCCCCATAATTACGAATCCTCCAAAATCAAGATGTACTTTATAAAAAGAGATTTAAGTACTAAAGCTCATGATGTTTAAAAATTTGTTCGATTGATAGTATACTTGTTGTCCTTATTTTGGGAGGGGGGGGGGGGGGTGGAA